GCAAATGTTAGTATTAGGAATTAGAGACAAACTGCTATTTGCATCTATGTATGCGTAAATTGTTGGCCTTGTTAGCAAGTACCACTTACCATTTACATATGCGCTGGGTCGCAGGAATATCATATTGCTAGGACATTAATCGAAATGAGTAGTACTAGTGACTTTGAAGCTTTATTTACAAATATGTTTTACTGATATGAATTAGTTCAAGGGCGGCTTCAAACATATGAACTTAAATAAATATTGAAACATTGAAAGCACCGCAATATATAATATTACTTATTTATTTAGCCTACCTGGTTTGTTCTTTTAGTCTGCGGTAAGAACAAACGGATTACAGTTAAGAAGCAAGAAGGGGATGAAGTCATTTGTTAGAAAAGTTATGAGTGGGATTTCAAGAGATGATCAGTAGAAATCCTTGCATTTTTTTTAAAAATTTAATGAATTTTGATACTCATAAGCATAAATTAACTATATAAACTTGAATAATTTACATCTTTCATCAGGGACTAGAACCTATGTAACTAAAAGCCACAGAATGCTTCAGAACACAAATAACCTTTTGTTCAAATGAATGAATTAATTGTCAAAGTGTTGTCAGAGTAACCATTTTAACGCTTAATGTCGCTAAAAGTTTGTGCTTCAATAGTGAAAGGAACAGCAATGAGTGTCCGTTGTTGAGACATAAAATCTACCGGCCTTACTAAGATTGAGGTGTTCATGATATAGGCTAGTTGTTTCTATGATATGCAAACGTATTCAAGTGAACGACAAATGCATATATATATATATTAAATGACTGATAAAATACCACTGGGAAATGCTAGACATGAGAGAATAGAACATGTCTGTTATTATGATTATTGTTAATATTTCTGTTTCTGTCAAACAAATCATGCATTTCACTGACTTATCAATGACAGCTTTTTAGATAGAAAAGAAACGCATTTCGTGTGATCAATAACATTTTCGAGCAGAAAAAAAGGAAAATACATGAATCATTGCATTTTTTCCTTCCTGTTTTGCTTGAATATCATACATATATATATGTAACAAATACAATGATGAGGCAATGAAATGAAGTTTATTCTATTCTATTTATTAAAATAGAACTGACGAAATGCTAAATAACTTTGTTGATAACGTCATCTGTAAGATGTGAATGATAACAGTACCGTGTTATACCCACCGATGCAGAACGACAATTCTATCTTTTGCATAGCGTCGTGTACATGACAGTTCGACTGAATTTCATTGACATGTATTCCCTCTGGGAGGTTTAGAGATTACTGGCGATTAGTTCAACCTATTAGTATGTGATCAAATTGTTGTTTTTTTGAGTGACTGAAGCTACTATATCGTTGGTAGCACTATTCGCAGTAGTTCAGCATTGTGACAAATATACAGATTAAAGTGAAAAAAAATCTTTTGAAATTCAACACGGAATAATTCAACAAAGTCGGAGATCAAAACGTAGTACCGCACTACTTCAGAACTAGATGATAATAAGAAATATTCTAATGATTTCGATATATGTGAAGGTGTCAGTTTTCATTAGCTACATTAGAAACTTCACATTTTAGAGAATAAATCAAAACCTTTCGGTTTGTTTCTACGTTAAATAGTTGTAATTAAGTCGTTGGCAGATTCAAAACTGTGAAGTAAACAACCTTCCTGTCGATATAAGTTATATTTTCCAGGTTGAAGTAATCAGTTTTTCAAGTGTTAGTTTGTAGGGATTTGATTGGTTACAGGATATTCATCATGAGCTGACATTAGTTAGAGAACCATTGGAAAACCTGGGAGTACTGGACAGCTGTTTCGTTCTGGTTTGGGACTCTTCAGCAGAATGCACCCACCGGGACCCGAACCCAGGACCTTCTGGTTTCAAGGCGAGCTCGTTTACCATTAAGCCACTGGGACCCGATTTAATGGTCCATGAATTCTAATTTTTGCCAATTCACGACATAGCGTGACCCCTAGCCAATGTCTTCGGCGAGTATTTGTTTTTATTATAGTTTTCTCTCTGCAGCGATTACAGTCTCCGTTAACACTATATGCCTATCTGGTTTGCCAGTAATCTCCGGATACTTTTGTTATACGACGTTCAACTGTTATTTAGGCAACTTTCTAATTATTTAGACAGTAAGGTGTTGACAAAATGTCTGTCTGGTCTTGTCTTGATGTTTTCATTTGATGTGCGTTTAATTATCTATACATGAGTTACCACGAAACAAGAAAGAATAGATTTCCAATAATCGGATTTACTCCCAGCAGATTTTAACTACCTGTTATGACTTCTGCAGTAACTAACCCTTATTTCCTAGCACACCAGTGTAGGTTTGTTTTAGATCATAGATATAGTTAAATAAACGAGGTGATAGTTAACTGTTTTGTAGTTCTGGTTGGCTACTTAATCGTGATGTAGAGATTCAACCAGGTTTTATTTATTAAGCAGTTTAGTTTCTGATCTCGTTCTGAGTAGTGTAATTGTTTAAAGAAGGTATTGTGTTTTGCCTACTGGACATTTTACACTTTAGTTGTAACGGTCAGGATAAGAGAAAGTAAAGTGAAACCCAGTTACATATAATCTAAACGACAATCGTGTTCATTTTTAAAGATACATCTACATAAGGCCTTTGACTTTCAATTTAATAAAGCTTTACCCAGTGTTTAAGAATAATCATCTTTCAAATATTTTACAAGATATTAGTAGTTTAGATGTTTTAACATTGTTAGTGCGACTGAATCTTACTTCTAGCAGTTATTTCTATTGTTTTCGTAACGATTCTCTCTCTGAATCAAAAGCCAACAACATTAATGGTAAAAAAACTATATACCACTGATTGATCCAGATAAGTAGTTAAATATCATTGAAATCAACCATTAGTGCTTGATGTGGTTTGAACCCTTTTGGCTTTTTGAGCTGAATAAAGCCCAGCACACCGCTAATAAGCTCAGCCCAAAACGAGCGAAATGGCCGTCTGCAGTTTGAATCATTTTAATAATCTGCCTAGTAAGGACTACTGACTGACTGAGGTGAGTAGGTGCATGTGGATGTATTCATTTACGCTTGGATTTTTCGATTACCATTTATGGCATCGAGCAAATCACGTATTGTAATCTGAATAATCTCGGTTTCTAAAGGAAACCACAATGGAATAAACACATTGAACTGTGTAAATTGCGAACTAATTTTCAAATTGTGAACTTGATTTAACATCAATGATTGCTTATGAAGGAAGCTAACTAGAGTAAAAGGATTCAATAAACTCAACTTTAGGTTCATATCATGAACTGACAAGCAACAAAAAATCGAAGAGTATGCAGCAGTAACTGTCAGTATAAATAAACGGCAGTCATTGTACAGAGTCAGATCTATAACACTGAAGGTTTCTAATCATTAAACTGAATTTTCAAAATAAGAAGCTATATTTTAAAAAATCAGTATCTTTTTATCAGTAACAGAAGTACTGAAAGATAATTTCCAAGATTTTAGTCAAAATTCGTGATTAAGTCCTTCAAGGTTATGATAATACGGAAGATTGTTTTTTCGCCGGAAGTAAAATCAGTCTCAAAACATGATAGGTGTAGCTGGACAAAGAGTTGATGCAAAGGCGTTAAATCATTCGGTTCAGGTAAATGGACTTTCAGTACGATATCAACAAAATTCTACGACTATACGCACACACTAGGGTTCGAACCCTGCCACAAGTCAAGCTCGTATACCATTCAGCCACTGGGAATCAATTCAGTGGTCAGCCTATGAATTCATACTTCTACCATTTCGTGATTTAGTGCGACCACCAACCAATGTCATCGGTGGAACATTCATCCTCACACTTGACTGGATGGACCTCACTAGTCACGAATTTTCACTAGAACCCCAGGAAACTCCATCCTGTAGCAAGTCACTAGTGAGCATCAGATTAATTTTCACTAGTTGGTTTGTGAGGATTGAATTCATGCGCTGGCCATTGAATCGGGTCCCAGTGCCTGAATGGTTTACAAGGTTGACTTGTGACCGGAATGTCCTGGGTTCGAACCGCCTGCAGGGTGGGTGCGTACGGCCTATGATTCCCAAACTAGGATGACGAAATAGCTGTCTGGCAGTACTCCCTGGTTTTCTATGGTTCTCTCAATGATATCAATCTGTGGTCAAACTCGTAAAACAAATCCAATCCTTACAAACCAACTCTCGAAAATTCTTCGAGGCTACTGCTAAAGGTTCAGATGACATGACCTCAAGGTTGAAAACAATGGTCAACACAAAGTCATTTGTCTTTCTCAAAGCTTTGGATCTCTTAGATTTATCTGTTTGTTTCTTTTGCTAGACCTTGAATTATTTTAGGTTTTTATTTGATGTTTTATTTATTATCTCTATCTCTACAGTGTCATTACGCAGAGAATGAAACGAACTTAATTCTGCGCTACATTTCGCATTTCACGTGAGCGTATCTGATTGCTTATATGTTCTGCGGAAGCTAGAAAGAGCTATCATTTACTGTATATATGTTGCTGATATTGATAATATCCAGCCATGAAGAAGGGGATAAGTGAATTCATTGTTGAAAACATTCATAGATGTAAATGCAACTGCTTACTGAGACTTTTTGGTCAGATACTTCAGAAAGTTATAAGATAGCGTTCGTTAATTATGTTTAATTGAAAAATTTTGTGGGGAGAAATAGTTGTTATTTCACATTGCCGAAAATCACCCATCGTGTTAAAGTCTTTGACATTTTTTCGAATTTTGATATTTAAAACAGCCTTTACTGTATTGAAGACGAACGCTTTACACTCATATAGGTGATAAATGGAGGTAAAAGTGAGAATTAGTCTCAATATAGTACAATAAAAATGACTTGACAGTTCATCACTTAAGAACAGTGTTATAAAGTGTACTTAGAAATTTGTTTCTAAGTTATAATCAAGAGCAGTATAAAATAAATTTAGTTTGGAAACTAAATAGATAGTTTATAAATGTCCATCTCACTTACCGTCTGTTATGGCTGTTAAAATTAACTTAAAACCAGGTTCTCTGTCCATCTTCATCATCGGTGAAGTTGACATTGCAGATGATGTCGACCTGTATAGAGAAACAAACAAAAATAACATAAAATTTAAAAATACATCCGTCCATTTGTAGTCGATCTTGTGATTTCACACCGATTGGCTTTGGTAAAATTTTAATGGCTCCAGAGTTCTCGATCTTTTTTCGGTATGTAACACATAAAAAGACGGCTTTTAATAAAATATGCTGATGCTGGTTACTGACTGTTCGCAAGATGAAGCTGAATGCAGTTCTGTTGAGAAGTCGTGACCAGTGGGATTCACCCGGTCGGAGGTGAGGTCAAATACTCGCCAATTACATTGGTTGATGCTAGTCACTTTAAATTCATGAACTGGTAGAAGTTAGAATTTATGAGCCATTAAGTCGCGTCTCAGTGGCTGAATGGTCTACGAGCTTCTCTTGTAACTGAACGGCCCTGGACTCGAAACCCGGTGGGTGCGTACTGTCTGTGAGGCCCAAACTAGAATGAAACAGCTGTCCAGCGCCCCATATGGTTTTCAAGTGTTCTGTAACGGATATTAATCCGTTATCAAACTTGAAACAAATCAAATTCCTACAAAAATGCTGTTGAAAATATGGAGTTCTCTTATGGACTAGTGAAAGACTGGAAACTACCGACTCAGAAATTTCACTATAGTTCTAGGAGGCATTGTATGCTACGCATAGCTCGTAAACTTCAGAATATTATTATTCAAGCATTAATTTTTCTAGACTACACCATTTTAATAATGATTAAGTAGATTCTTAGTGTTATTTATTCCACCTAAAAGTATTTGTCCTACTGAAGTAAACATTTATAAGGACGTCAATTTAATCAGTTACTTATTTAAGATGAAGAGAAAATCTACAAAAACATTGTTTTTAACTTATCTGTGATTGGTTACTTCAGAAAATATGAAGCATTTACTATTTCTATTAAAGTTTATATACATACATATATGTATGAGAATATACAAAAGTTGACATTATCATGGAAGGAAATTCTTCAAAAGTTGTAAACTGATGTTTAAATGTTGTTTCAAAATGTAGCTGACAGTCTAGCCGGTGAGCTTTTTTCGCAATACAAAGTAATTCACAAACATCACAGTAATACTGAACAACTGCGAGAATGCTACTCATCATTTAAAAGGATTAAGTAATGTGCGATGCTGCATCAGGAAAAAATAACGATAACAATTTATTAAACTGACCGTCTAGAAGAATAGATGTGATTTGATACTGAGGATAATTCATAAAACGTTTTTATTCCTAATATGAAGACACCTGAGGTTGTGCAAGGATTTTTGGTGTAGGTTAAGGATAGAATACATTTACACACTACATAATTTTTAATTTAATTTCTTTTTTAAATTTTGATTATAGCTTGATTCCACACCGTATTTTTGGTGCAAGTATGGAGTTTTCAGCATGTGATATCGGCAGCCCAAATTTCACAGACCGACAATTGATATCAGGTGTCCGTTGGCAGGAGGTTGAGCCCCGGACCATGTGCATGGTCGGCGAGTTTCCTAACCACTGTGCCACCGACGCACTAATTAATTGTCTTGCATTAAAGTAACAGTTAGAATATTTTCATTACTCGAAATTGAATATACTATTCACAAGCACAATGACAAGCTTTGAAACGTCTACTGTAATTTGAATGAGCTAATGTAGGCAACGTTTTCATGTTGTCTAAATAATTTTGTACTTGGCATAGAAAGAAGACTCTTTTTTGATATTTTCACGTTTCCTGTGGTTTTTTGAATCCAATAACAGTGTGTTACAAAAATAACTCTATCGAAATTTCAAATTTTAACGCTATAGACCTGATGATTAATGTAAAGTACGGTTTCAGATGAACTGTGCTATTTCTTTTGACTTATCACAAAACTTGCATGCAGTATCATATCTAGTCGTTTCTTTTCACAATATACTAAAATGATATCTCAGCCTCCTCCATCCCTTGTTTGCTACCTCGATAAATCTAATAATAACAATAACATGAATGGAAGTGAAAATTCACCAAAGAAGACTGTGGAAGTACAAACAAGCGGAGTGAATGCATTCATTATTGTTCTTTACTTTACCTAAACTAAGAACGAAGCAGATATCTGAATTTTGATGGACTATTCAAGAAAAAAATGTCTGTTTATCTACTGTTCCGTTGAAAGATGTTCGTATTGATAGATACAGTGTTCAAGTATGTTCACATTTAAAATTCGAGGAACAGAATTTATCATATGTTTTGCTTTTATACTCTGTATCAGAAAAAATGACAACTAAGCAGATAGAAATCCAGTTTCAAAGAAATTCTTCCAGCTTACTGAGGAGAAGAATGATGTTTACTTTATATTCCTCAGAAATAGCATTTTGATACTGTACACTATTTCCGTATTTCAGGTACAAAAAAAACTAAATTTTAAGGAAAATATTTCCGAATTTTTCACTTTTAGAACAAACAGAATACGAGTTAAATGGTTATTTTCAATGCGTTGAACACATTCGCTTAAAATATTGATAGGTCAGATGACATAATCATTTGGTTAAGAATTTTGTTCAAAATTTCTGGAGGTGTGGTGTATGGTAGAAAAACTTTAGAACTAGTAAAAATCACTTGGTAGGAGGTTATGCATTGACTTCCGAACTCACGCAGTAACATTTTCTTCAGAGGATGGAGAAAAGACTGCAGCATAGCCCTAATTACATAACATTAGTAATAGTAAATAACATCTCTCTTTTTTGTGTTGTGTGCTACTGTCACACTGCGAACAACTTGTACACATAAGCTTTACAAGGAAAATATCATGTGAATAGTAAGTCTTCGAGGAAACATGTCAGCCACAAAAAAATAATGATCAGTAATACAATTGCGTACCAAACAGTATGTTGATTAGGTCAGAAACAAACTAAAAATGAATAATTCGCATACTAAAAGCGAAAATTTATTGTTTTGAATTCTCACTAAACTGAGCTTGACCACAACATTTTGAATGGAACAAAGCCTTGGGCTTATAAGATGCATATATTTTGTGAATAAAATGGAGAAAGTTAAACATATTTTTTACGAAATGTGAAAAGAAAATAGGCACGAAACTATGGATTTAACTCAGTGATTCGTCTACTGATAAGTGTCATCAGTAGTATCTTGGATATTTGGGTAGTTCCTACACTAGGTTTTCAGCTTATAATGAACGAAGTAAGGTTTAATAAGTATTAAGTCAAAATGTGCATATGTGGTGAGAGCTGGCTGCTAGCCAAAGTTGGTAGACAGTAATTGACGTCAATGTTTATGTCCCCAATATTGGTGGTGAGAAAATGAGAACAAAGGCTTTGCGTAGGCGGATACAGTTAGCATATGGATGATCTGACACAGCCACAAAGAGATGCAGATGTGAGAAACAAGCAATCAAAAGACTGTATTTTCTACTAACAATAATCTACAATAATGTACATTAAAACCTATAAATATGTGTTGATTTTCCTTAATAAACGATCTGTTGCCTGACCCTTGTCTTCTGTTGTTACACATATACTTAACGCGTCAGTAGCACAGCGGTATAATGCTCGAGGTAGGATCCCAGGCCGACGCACTACTTCACTTCACTAAGCCAGAACTAATACTGGTAAAGACGGAAGGTTGGACATGTGGCTAGCAACTCCATCCCGTAAAAATTAACACAACTGCTACCGAAACTTCAAACCTCTAGCTTAAAGCCCTTTGTACCAGTAGGAACGTAAAGGTACAAAATAAAATAAATAATAGTGCTTAATACTCACTTATGTATCAAAATTAAATATTTTGAAGAGTGCTTTTAACTTGAAATTAGTATATTTTGACAGTAGGAAGATGGAGGGATAAACATGTCTCATGTTTATCCTGATGTTTTATTTTGTAGTACTTTTTTGGAAGAAAAGTTAGGGCCAACAATTGTTACAGTAAATTTTTCTTCAAGCTCTACAATTATAAATCCATTAATTCTACCGTAAAATATCCAGTAAAGGTAAATTGGAATTAAATCAGAAAGTACAAGATGGAAAATTTGTCAGTGAATTCTGAATGTGGTTTTATTCCGTATAAAATATATGAACAAGAAGACCATAAAATAAAATTTAATTAAATAATTCAGTGACGTGTTTATGTTGTTATCATCAACAGCAATATAGGTACCAAGGCGTGAGTTGTAATAATGTCAGTATTAAGTCTGAGCATTGTGGAATAAATCAAATGAATTATAATTATATTTCAATAGTTTACACACAATGATAAGTTTTTGTTTATTGATAATATTTCGAGCAAAATTATTGCCGCGTGAATTGTAGTCACTAGAGTGGAGACAAAATAAATACTATAGAGAAATAAACCAACAAATGGGGTTGACTAGACGTAAGGATAATAATGATAAATAACACTAATAACAATGATGAAATAATAATTATATTTTAAAACAATTAGTTCCCTTTATGAATTTAGACAAAGCAATAAGAAGACGTAATTTGTCTAGAACGTGTAATGTATTTGCGCAACACATTCATTACTTCTATGTACTGGCAATGTTAGGTTTACATTTGAAGGTTTCCGCCAGGTTGATGGTGTTGCTATGGGAAGTCCGTTGGGGCTCCTTTTAGCAGATATCTATATGTCGTACAATGAGAGATTATCGAAGGATTTAATCGAAAATATGCCACTTTATAGAAGGTATGTAGACGACATTGTAATCATAATTGATAAGCCCTGTTCTGCCACCTGAGTTTTAAATCGAATAAATGAAGTTCAGAATAGCATATCACGGCGAAGTTAAACTTTGAGCACCACTGTCTACCAACGGAGTGAGACCGCATAAATGACTTTGTAAAGCACACTGAGCAAGTTAGTGAAACTTGGCAAGTAGTGTTGTCATCATCAGTAAAATATGCTCGTCGGAGAGTTATGTTATTAAATGGGAAATCTGGCAAGTTTCAGCTTAGGTTTGGGAAAGATTAAGTTACGGTCTAGGGAAAAGACAAGTTGGGGTTAAGTTAACCTATGAAATGTG